TTTCCTCTATCCATGATAACTAAATGTTCGAGGACGAACATTCTAATTTTGGGGAGATAATGTTATGATACGACATGAGCCAGATTATAGATTCTGGGCATCCTGTATAATACGAAGGACGAAGAGTCTAAACATTCCTGATCGGGGTTACCCCTCACCTACTGTATAGAAGGGTTCCGAACTATAAAGGAGCGTGAGGCTGAGACATCCCTGAAGAAGGATAACACTTTTTAGACATCGAGAATACGACAGATAGACTAGGCCTATCCACTAAGGCTGAACTATCTATAAACCGATCTACTCGTAGTTTAAGAGACAGCTCCAGGCTGTTTCATAATAGTTGGTGGTGGAGTTGATGGAAAAGCTCCAGTCGTCCGCGGCCAACGCGGAGGAGATCATGAAGCAGCAGAAGAACGCGCAGCTCAAGCGGCTGCTGCTCCGCAAGCGGCAGCTCCAGCAGATCTCCAGCCAGTTGGACCAGAAATTCCTCTCCAACAAAGCGGGCTCACGGCACGGCGCGGGCCTGGACTCTGCGGATGCGCACACGCCGTTCACGCCCTTCTGCGGCGACCGGGACGTGGACAAAAAGTACACGCTTTTGGGCAAGCCGACGCGCGACGTGGTGGATATCACCGACACATACTACGATCCGTACGTCAACAAGATGGCGCAGAACCGCGAGTTTTTGGGCGGCGGCTGGCGGCTCAAGACCTTGTTCGAGCGTGCGTTGGACGAGGCGTTCATGGGGCTCAGCTGCTTCATCGAGACGGAAAGAGCACCGCACCTGCGCCGCGGCCCAAGCGACACCGCCGTCTCGCAATAGCCGGCCATTTCTACAGGGCGCTGTTTTTGGAGCGGCAAGTATCTTCAATGCATTTCACGGCACGGGGACGCTCTATAAAGAGAGTAGGTCTGAGGCCGCGCTTGCGCCCAGCGGGGGAGCCGTGCTGGGTGCGTCATTGTCTGGTGCGAGGAGCGCAAGGCCAAGCACGTTTTCTGCCGGGCCAGCCTCGGTTTTCTGAGGCGTTGTGTGCCACTGCCCGCTTACGGTCGTCTCGCCCCCCGCATGGCTGGGCATGGTGTTGGCTGAAGACGACTGGTAGGCCTCGAACTCGAGCGACGAGCGTGCCGAGACCAGCGGCGAAAGGCCGGCGCTCTCTGAGGCAGCGGCAGGGGCGAGCGGCGCTGTTTTCGGCGGCTGTGCCCGTTCCCGCGTTTCTTGCGCAGATGTCTCCGGGCCTGTTTTGTGCGTTTCAGGCGACAAGGCCAGGCCCGGGCCTTGCGGAGGAGACGCCAGCAGACCGGGTTTTCCGTCCTGGAGCGCTGTGTTCGCGGCCATGCCGGTCCCTGGGACCGGGAGCGTAAAGCTGTTGGAGACGGGCCGGGGCCCAAAGAGCGCCCCGAAAAAGCCCGAGTTGCGCTTGGTGTTTTGCGCCGCGATGGCGGCCTTGAGGATGCTGGCGTACTTTTCCTCCTTGAGCTGCACGCGGTGTAGATGCATTTCGTGGTCCCGGCGGCGGCGCTCGTCGAGCTTTCTGGAGGCCTGTTTCAGATGGTGAGCCTTGATGAGGTCGATGCGGTCCTGGATAAACCGGTTGCTTTCACGCTGCACCACTGCGGCGAGCCGGTGGCCCAAGTTGGACTTCTGTGGCCGGGCCAAAGGTGGGCCGCTGGAAGGCGCGGCTCGGATCAGAGGCTCTGACTGCGGGGGCCCTGTTTCCCGGAGCTCTGGCTTTGAGGTGGCTCGCCCAGCGGGCGATGTATCGAGCTGCGGCCTGCTTGGCGGCTCCGTCCGCAGGACCACGGTCAGTGGTGTTTCAGGCCCCCGAGGGCTGGCCGAAGTCAGGGGGCCCGCCGAAATCAGAGGGCCGGCCGAAATCAGAGGCGCGAGCCCCCAAGCGGCCATCCCAGCGGTTCGCGGCACTGCTGGCTCTGGTTCTGGCCGGGCCGGGTCCGAACCGTTCCTTCTCGGAAGCTCCCTCTGTGCAAGCTCCCGCTGTTGCTGGAGCTCTCGTTTGCGCGCAGCAATATACTTATCTCCAGAAGACCATGCGAATAGAGAGCTGGCGGCACTGCTGCCCGAAACAGACATGCGGCCCGGCGCGTCGCGCGGCCCGCCGGCGTGGTCGGCATCCGTTTCGTCCCACAAATGCACTTTCTGCCGCAGGAGGGCGCTCAAGCGAGACAGGCCAAACTGCACGATGGAGTGTCTGTTGGGGCCGGCGCCGCCCGGGCTCTGCGCGCGGTTTTCCTCGCCCAGCGCGTCCATAAACAGCCGCGTGAGGCTCTGGAGCCCCACATAGCATTTGCTGCCGTTGGGCGTCGCGTGGAGAAGCTCCTCGGGATAGACCGTGTATGGTGTCGGGGTGCCTGTGCGCTGGGGGCCCGGGCTGGCCGCCGGGTCGTTTTCCGGCGGGAAAAGCAAGGCAATTGTCTCTTCGGCTTCCTTTGGTAGCACCATCGCATTCACGAGACTAGAAGGGGCCAGTTCCTGGGTGACGCCGGGGGCGTTGGGTGGGGGCGGGGGTGGTTTTGCAGGGTTTCGTGGGCTGCCTGGCTCGGCCCGCGTGTTAGGCGCGGTCCCATGGCCCCAGGGCCGCGGGCCGCTGGCCCCAAGTCGCGGGGCCGGCCGCACCGCGAGATAAATATCGCAGGGCCACGTAAATGCAATAATATTAGAAGACCTCCTGGTTTTACACCAATCGACCACGAAGATGCAAGGTTGGAGGAGCTGGTGTCAGAGGACCGTTTATCTTTTATTCGAGGACCGTTCTTTTTTATTCGAGGACCGTTTTTTTTATTCGAGGACCGTTTTTTTATTCGAGGACCGTTTATCTTATATTCGAGGACCGTTTTTCATTCGAGGACCGCTTATTTTTTAGTCGAGAACCGTTTATCTTTTATTCGAGGACCGTTTATCTTATATTCGAGGACCGTTTTTCATTTTATCTTTTATTCGAGGACCGCTTATTTTTTATTCGAGGACCGGTTTTCATTCGAGGACCGCGTCATTTCAGCGCTGGCAGACCAGGTGGATCCATATATGGACCTCTCGATTCCAGCATCAAAAAACCACATATCTAGTAAACAAGACCACTCAAATCAACAAAGAGACATAAACATTTACGAGTGGTGTGTATACTCTCCACCCAAGACGGTATGGAAGACACGGCAGCTTGTGGTTCGAAACAAACGCTTCACCTACATTTGGGGACGCGGCAGATTGGGCCAGGGTGTGCTGAGAAGTCTCATGGACAGAATGTTCCAGGAACGCAGAGTGCTTCACGATCCACAGACGACGGCCCGCGGCATGCGTAACCACAACCATCGCGTATCAGATGTTTTTTTCTCTTCATTTTTTTGAGTCCAAAAGTATGCCTGACTTTAGTTGTGTGGAGTGATGCATTGGTATTGGAGGGGCGAGGTGTATTGAGTTGGAGGCAGGGTGCGCACCGCAGGCCCTGAGAATAGAGGCACTATGGCACAGGCTATCCCCAGAAAATAGTCGCTGGGCCGAAAAAAAGGAAACAAAATAAAGAATAAGGAAAGGACGCCACAAATCTCCAAAAAGAAAAAAAAAAACGCATTTTCCCTTTTCCCCCTTTTCTTGCTGTTTCCCGGTTCTCTGCTCATCGCATGGTTTCGCGATCCAGTGCCCCGGCATGGGCCGCACTCCGCCTGAAGGAATGAGAGATGGCGCTATCACAAGGACTGACTTGTCCGCAAAAAAACACCCAGACATGGCATTTTCGGCAGTGAGCTTTCCCCTGTTCCCATCGCACCCTGTGTTCGTGGCGTACTACGACAACGTGCCTGGCGAGACGCTAGCCACAGTGAAAAAAGAGCTCATGGCCCGAAACCCAGCGTTCGACTACTGTTTTCTCAGCACCACACATCTTATTTCGGTAGAGCAGCTCCGGTGTGCGCTACATAGGGCGGTGCAAAACTTGGTGCAAGACACTATGAAGGCCAACACGGTGAACACCGAGATCATATTTAGCCTTTCGCCGGTGAACAACATCAACGACGCGTTGAAGAGATTTGGAGTGGACGAAACCCGGGCCGATGTCATTGTGGTCAAGGTGTGCAGAAGCGATTCCAGCATGGCGGAGGTCGAAAAAGCCATTTCTGCTCTCTTGGGTAGCACTGCGGTCGCTTTGAGCGACGAGGCGTTGCTCTGCCGGCACGACGCGAAGAAGTTTAGGAAGTTGTTCAAGTTGCTGGATGCCACAGACGCTTCCCAGCAGGGCCAAACAAGGGGCGCGGTGGCAGCAAGTCTCTTGCGTGGGTTGTGAGTAGTATAGATACTTTAGATGGTATGTCATACGGAATGTAACGAGGCACCGGACAGAGGGACGGTCCATTCTTGCTTCATGAAGCCGGAGGCGTGCATAGCATGTTTCAGCGGCCAGTAAAGGCAAAGCGCAGAAGCTTCAAGGCAGGCTTGCGCTTCGGCAGCACGAGAGCAGTACGCACCGGCGAGACGTCCAAGTCCTCATCGATCTCGCTGACACAGGTCGGCTGCAGGGACTTGAGCTGGGAGCTGTCTTCGGCGAGCATGCGCTTCTCGAGCACATGCTCCGGGGTCTGCGGGTTCGGAGAGCTGACGGGGCTGTCGTCAAGCGACTGCGCATCATCCACCTCTGGGGCCGAGCCGCGGTCTGCTCGCACATTCTTTGTCGGAGTGAGCTGGACCTTCACCGCCGCTGCTTTCACACAAGTCTGCTTCGGGCTTGGAAACGCACAGGCGTCTTCTCCGCCCGGTGCGGCCATGGCGAACCTCTGGCGCCACAGAAGACTGATTCTTTCAGTTTTGATGGGGGACTCGTCGATCTCGTTCTCGTAGCCATCATCCGCGTCGCTGTCAACCGTGGCGGCCAACGAGCCGAGCAGCTGGGAGAGCTCCGCGCTGTTGGCCATGGAGTCAGCGGGGCTGGCTTCAAACGCGGCGTCCCCGTCGTCGTCGGTATCACAGCCGGCCAGTCCTGCGGCGGCCCCGGTCCGGATGGGGGACGACGACTCGGGAACCTCGGAGTCGCCTGTGAGAAAGCCTGTGTCAGCGTCGTCTCCGGGGCAGGCGCGCGGCACAGCAACCGGCGGGAGCATGGGCTGGCTGGAGCTGAAGAACTTGCTCTGCGTGGAGCCGCCGGCGCCGGGGCTCGGCACGCTCTGGAAGCGCCGGAGCTTCTTGCTGCTGGGCGAGAGTTGCGAGGCCGGGTCGCCGGGTCTTTTCAAGGCACCAGCCGGTCGTGGCGCCGTGGAGGCGGGCGCCTTCAACACGGGCCTTGAGCTCTGGAAGAAGCTCTCGATGGATCTCGAGCTGGAGAGGGGTTTTCGAACCTGAGCGGTGCTGGTGCTGGTATTGCTGGCGGTGGTGGTGGTGCTGCCCCGGAAGGCCGCGGGCATGGCGTTCACCGAATGGCTGCGAGCCACCAGCAAATTCTGCTCGCGTGAAACGAGCGGCTTGTGCGAGGACGGATGGAGCTTGCCCGCGCAGATGCCCGCGTGGACGTGCGGGGCCAAGCGGCGGCCGCAGCAGAGCTCGAGCATGTGCATGTCGAGGCCGGCGTCCGGCGCAACGGCGCAAAGCGTGGTCAAGGCCTGCGTGGCCGGGTCAAACACCTTCTGGTACTGGAACGCGAGGTCCGCCCTCAAGGCCTCGTCCATGAAGTCGTCCGGGACGGGCTTGTTGTCCGCACGAAGCGCAGCCACGATGCGGGCGAGATCGCCGAGCCGCAGCACGAGGCTGAACGCGGTCTTGAGCCCCACGCCCGGGACGCCCTTGGTATAGTCGCAGCCCGAGAGAATGGCCACGAGCCGCCACTGCGCCGGCGTGTACGTGTGGAGCAGCATGCGCGGCACCTTGTGCAAGTTGCCTGTGCAGATCTCCACGCACCCGCCGTAGTCGTTGAGCTTGGTGATGAGCCGCGTGCAGCCAAACACTAGCAAGTCCAGGTCCTCGGACAAGATGCCGTCCACGGCGCCGGTCTTCTCCAAGTACACCATCTGCGGGTCGGCCTCGTAGGGCGCCACCACGTACCGCACGTGGCGGCGGTCGAGCTCCACCATCACGGACTTGGCCATTTCCGGCGTGACCTCCGCCGCCTTCATGTACTCCTTCCACGCGGCCTTGCGGTCGCCGCGCTTGACCAACGCCTGCGCCTGCGCACGTGCCTTTTCGCGCTTGAGCCGGCGCTCCACGTGTGTGCCTTCTTTGGTCGGAAGCGGCGACCCGTCAAACACCATCACTGGCGTCACGCCGAAATGGAGCAACATGTCCACTTTCTTCATCACCGACGTGATGTAGCCGCGCGTCGGCGCGTCGGTGCAGAGGTCCTGCGCACACAGAATGAGCCCCCGGTGGAGCCAGCCGTACGTGTCCACGGCAAGCGTTTTCCCTTTGTATTTGGAGAGCGACGTGGTTTCCTGGATCTGCTTGAGCTGCTGGAGCAAGCCGGTGACGCCCATGTTTGCACGTGCGGGCGGGACAAGGGGTTGGGGCGGCTGGCGGCAAAGCGGGCGCTGCTATCAAAAAAGATAGATGTGGGCAGACCAGAAAAAGAGCGTGGGCCATAGTGTACGGCCGCTGGGCGGGAGGTGCTACTTTAAGTACCACGTCTGCGTCTGTGGATCGCGAGTCTCACGCGTTCGCTGCGGGCCGCGCTGTGTGCAGGCCGCGACGCGCGCTCGGGCCGGACCCTGGGTCCCTGGTGGCTGGGGCTGCGAGATCGCTGGAGGCGCTTATTCACGGTGGGGTTTTCTTTGGAGGATCTAGGGGTGGAATATCGGGGGACGGGTAGTTGGAGAAGGCTAGGATGGATTGGGGTTGGAAAAGATAAGAGAGAGATGTAGTTGGAGAAAACTCCAGAGATGTAGTTGGAGAATACTTGCAAGATATGTAGTTGGAGAATTCTCGAAAGAAATGGAGGTAGAGAAAGCTCGAGAGAGATTTAGTTGGAGAATACTTGGATATAATGTAGTTGGAAAAGATAAGAGAGAGATGTAGTTGGAGAAAACTCCAGAGATGTAGTTG